GCTTCAAACTGCTGAGTAGAAAAGGAAAAGGAAAATGGTTCGATTTCTTTTCACTTCATATCTCATTGACTTGACACCTCCTTTGAATTAGTTGGATTTATCCTTATTTATCCCCCAAGTCATTGATGACCCCAAAGCAGATGTATTTTCATTCTACTTGGCGTTGTGGATTAATGTGCTGTACCACAAGGTTGGTGGTCCACGCTCACAAGCCACTCCTCAGAAAATCAACACAGAGTCGCTATGAGTCAGAACCAACTCGATGACACTTGACAGCAATACCAAATAGCCAAATATTTGCAATTACTTTGTCTTGGAATATTAATCAAGACAGAATTTCCCTGTTCTGTCCTTTGATTATAAGTTGGGCAGATTCCTTAACTTTTTAATGCTTTAAATCCAGTCCAATTTGAATCTGCAATCTCTCATCTGGTTTAAAATGTTTAAAGTTAGATACTCGGGTTGACTTGTTAAGATTTAAAAAAAAAAAATTAAAATCAGGGGATGTTTGCTACCATATACTTTCAATAATTCACCAATCAAATGATCTCAATTGTCATCCAAGGGTGCAGCACGGAAGTGTATCTATGACTCTATTTTAGGGCAGGGAGGGAGCACTCACAACAAATCTTGGTTCTATTCTTAGATATTTCTTTAGTAATCCTTGACATAGATACAGGAAGCCTTCAGCCTAGACAGGTTCTAGTTGACAACCTCAACTGTCTTACCCAGATATCAATGCTCACCTCAGCTCATCTAACTGTTAAATGTGTGGGCCTGCCTGGGATCAGAAGCACAGGATATCTGCATTGGAAAAAGCTGTAAGGGGTAAAACCTACCTCATTCACTGACATCAAATGTTTAAACAACTAAACAAATCTCAGACCCAGGCATGATTATTTACAGAGCTCTGCCTGAAGGGCACACCATCTCTAAACAAGCTGCTGTTGTTAAGTGCCGTCTAGTGGATACTGACTCATAGCACTCCTGTATAGGGTTTCCAAGGAGTGGCTAGTGGGTTTGAACTGCCGCCCTTGCAGTTAGCAGTCCATTGCTTATCCTGTAGTGCCACACCATGACTGATAAGCTGGGATTTTAGGTTTGCTGAGCTATATTTAAACAACATAGCATCTACTCATATTATTGAGGTTAATTTTCTTAAATTCAATTTGGCAAATAGATATTGTTGTTGTTGTTAAGTGCCGTCGAGTCGATTCCGACCCATAGCGACCCTGTACAGGGTTTCCGAGGGTGTAAATCTTTACGGGAGTAGAAAGCCTCATCTTTCTCCCGCGGAGCGGCTGGTAGTTTCGAACCGCTGACCTTAAGGTTCGCAGCCCGATTCGTAACCACTACGGCAAATAGATATACTCTATCAAAAAAGATATTTTCTTTTCAATTATATATGCAACATAAACTCCTCTCTGAGACAGCAGCTAAAAACTTAAAGCTCAGTGTGTGACATGCGACCCTGAAATGTACATTTTTCCCTGTTTTATCTTAGTTTTCTTCTCCTCATTCTTCCTTGGCTGTAACATCATGATGAATTTTCTTTTGGTGTAGACTATGCAAATTTAAGCTATCTCAAGCCCTTTTTAGAACAATGTGTAGTATAAATAAATGCTGAGAATAAAAAGATTTGGTGTGGTTAACAGACTTCATTAATCACGCAGTGCACCAGCAACTTAATACACAGCTTTAGTCCTTCTTTTCTCAGTTCTTCTGGTGTCATGTAGATGCAGGCTAAACATGTTAAGATCCACAACTGCAATGAATTTATAATTAAACCAATGAAATGTATAAATGTTAACACTTGCTTTTATTCGGTAAGACTTGAATGATTCAAGACCCAGGCTTTTAACATTGTCACTATCACACAGCCAATACCTTTGGAGAAAAACAATCAATGGGTTCAACAAACACCGAAGAATTTAATGTGCTGAAAGACAGGAGTCAGCAGTTAGATTAAAAGTGATTTTGTAGCCTACCCTTCTCTGCTGCAGAAGCTGTTCTGAGTGGCTGAGTGGGTTGGCGTAGAGTTGAAGAGGAAAGGAAGAAGTTGACTTTTTAAGAACCTAGAAGGCAGGACATTGTCCAAACCTTTAAAAGACAGTGAGCACACACTAGAGTCACTATTCAATGACTAAACTAGCCTCATGGTCCCCTCTAGTGGTGTGAATGTTCAAGTCACATCTCTACGTACACTGCAATATAATACAGGACCGTTCTGTTTGCCCTGCTTGGGAAGTGACCAAAACTGTAATTTGACATTTTAATTTTAAATTTCCTTGAATATTTTTCTTAGAGCAGACACACAGAATACTTACCATATGCTAGACACTCTTCTAAGAATCTCATCAATACTGACTTTCTTAACTATCCTAACAATCCTATGACTATTATCTTTATCTCTACAACTGGGGAAATGGAGTCACAGAACTTTCCAAAGGTCAGCAGCTATTCTATATGTGATCCTCAGAACAGCACTGGGGATTGGCAGGAAGAACAAAAACATATATGTATGTATCAAACTTAAATTTGGTAAAGTATTATCTAAGAAGTAAAGAGTCTACTGAACTAGGAATTTGGGGTCTTGGACTCAAGTGCTCTCTTTGTGCACCAGTTAGAACTTACATAAATGAGGTGGTAACACACTCCCTGGGTTTTGAAATGACCTAAAATATCTCTATGGTCCATATAACTTTAACTGCTTGCATTTATCATTTAAATATGGCCAGAGAAATGAGTATTTCTACAGATCACAGAACAAAATACACCAATATCAACACACAAGATACTTACGACAACTCTGGTGTATACTTCTTCAGCGAAGTCGATGTTCTGGAATTTGTGTTCTGTAGGAAATGTGTAGTTAGTTAGCCACTCCAAAAGCGGCAGGTCTACATTACTTCCAGCAAACGAGTATTGAGGAGCATGAATGTGCGTATCAACCAGCCCAGGCATGAAGAACTCACTGGAAATTAAGATGAGAGGGAGATAATTTAATTACATTTTTAGTCATTTTCCATATTTTTAAAATCTCATTTCCCCTCGACAATGATTTCACAGTTCCCACAACACAAGTCTATAGCTGAGGCATCAGACAACTGTCAATGTTCCTATGATTTGGATGCTAGTTGCTGAGTCAGCCCAACTCCTGGGGACTCGTGAACAATGGGACAAAATGCTTCCTAGTCCTGTGAAATCCCCATGATCAGCTCTGGATCAGACAATGTTCCACTGTAATCTGTAGGGTTTTCATTGGCTTTTTGCAAGCAGATGGCATTCAAACACAAGGGCATAAAGGAAACGACAACCTGTCTTTACTTAACATGTGAGTACCTTGTTCAGCCTAGATTTTTTTGGCATTAATTTTGGGTTTTTAAAATATCACATTCAAGTATTATTATATGCCTTGATTACAGAGTTTTTAACTCCCTCACCTCAAATTTTGTGCCTAAAATATACGTTTCACTCACCTCAACCTAATCCAGCCCTATAAACCCTCTCATTTGCTCTCTGCCATAATCTGAGTTAGGGGCCTGTCAAGACACTGGCTCCTGTTGTTGTTAGCTGCCTAAATTGATTCCAACTCCTAATGACCCCATGCGTTCAGAGGGCAACTGCTGCACAGGGCTTCAGAGACTGTGACCTTTTAGACACACATCTCCAGACCTGTCTTATAAGGCACCTCTTGGTGAAGTTCAAATCACCAAACATTTGGCTAGCAGTCCAGAGCTTAACCATTTGTACCATTCAGGGACTTCCCAGAGTCCTCCAGTAGTAATCTTCATTTGTTAAAAGTCCACATTGTGCTGAGGCAGACCTGTAATTATAATGGGTACTGGGCTGAATCGATTGAAAAGATATCAGAGACATCATCTTCCATGGCTTCTTGATCTTGAGACATAAAGAAATTCATCTGCTCAGGTCTTGTATGTTTGATGTGAGAATTACTTTGCAGCATTTAAAATATGGTTTTCCTCAGTCTTCCCCCCGAAAAGTTTAAATATGAAGACCTCAGTCTTCTCCACCCCACCCCACTAAAGCTTAAATTGTTACTTTACCATCTCTCTGTACATAGTGCTTGCAGAGTTCCTGAAATCTGCATTTTTGATGGATTTAATTCTAAAAGCAGTCCCAAAAAGAGGGACAAAAATATGCAAAGGTCCCACCTCATCCACTCCACCTCCCAAACTTCCTTCTTCTAATCCCCTCTATCTCAAAGACATACAGGTAGGTGACTGTAAATGTCAGTGTTTCCTCAACATATATACTCATGAAAATCTAGCAAGAGGAAGCAAAAGGTAAGAGCAGATGTTTCTTCTTTAAATTTCCACGCCTGCCAAGAGGAAGCCCTCCAATGAAATGAACTGGCAGTGGCAGCAGCAATGGACTCAAGCATTAATGATTGTGAGGCTGGTGTAGGACTGGGCAGTGTTTCTTTCTGCTGTGCATTGAGTCACTATGAGTTGGAACCAACTCAACAGAACCTAACAACAACAGTTGCCAGTAGGTTTCCAAGCCTAAAGAGAGGCAGGAGGGAGGGGAAAGAAGGTAGAAGAAGTAAGTACAGCTGCAAGCGCAATAAACGTTTGTTTTCTGGACTATGATCAGTCCCTACGCTGCAAAGCTTTTGGGGTAACCCAATTCTTAGTACCTCAGCACTAGAAGGGACCGTCATTAACACCTCAGACAATGCTTTCTCTTTAAAAGCTTATAGAGTAGACAAGCTTAAAGAGAAAAGTGATTTGCTTTAGACCTAACCCCTACAAAACTACAGTGTAGTGTGAGGATGCAAATCAGGTACTCGAATTCCAAGTTCCATGTTCCTTTTACTACATTACTCTAAAGTTACATCCCAAGTTATAAAAAGTGTTTTCCAAGTGAAAATGATAGGCTTTATTGACTTTGTGAACATACTTGTTCTGAAACAAGGTAAAATACAGTTCAAAGATTGATTTCAGGCAGGCTTCCTGTAATCTGTGGTTAATTGATGGCATCCAATAGAAAGAAAGAATTTGGCCATGACTTACTGGTGACTCAGTTCTCTTACTTCACACGGCTTGAAGCACCATTCTTTGGCCAATTTTTCTTGTTGCGATGCTTCTTCTAAAAACACTATCTTTAAAAGAAAGAGCAAAAGAAAAGTATAACAAATTAATGTCATTTATTGCTATAAGTATATACATCTTTTAAGAGACTACACGATAGCTGAGCTATTCTCAAAGGTATTTTATAGCAAATGGAATTGAGTCTAAAGATAAACAGAGAGAAAGGTTTGCCTTTGTTCACCAGAAGAATAAACTGGTAACATTTCTCCATTTCTGCTGTAACACAGGTAGTTCCCAACTTGGACGGACTCAAGTTACACTGGATTTCACTTACAGTCATTTAGGTCTTATTTGTTTGGTTGTTTTTGTTTCGCTTTGTTTGTACATTTTATCTTTAATAATACTATGTTACAGCACATAATTTGCTGATGTTAAATCGAGATGATCCTGAACCTTTCACAAGTTAAGTTTTTACTAACTTAACTGACAAAACACCAATGTTGTCCAACTCACCTTCAGAGTAAATTTTTATGATTTGTGTATTGTTTGTATATATGTATGTATTAAACTATATATGTAAGTTTATATGTAATGTTTCCAACCCCAAAGACAAATAAAGATTTTGATTAAGATGATGTTGTTTTCATAACATCAAAATGGGCAATTTAAAGTAATCAATGCACACATCCAAAAAGAAGAAAGAGCCCAAATCAACATCCTAATCCAACACCTCCAGCAATTATACAAAAACAGCAAAGTAAACCTACTGCTGCCAGAAGGAAAGAAATAATAAAAGAGCAGAAATAAACAAATAGAAAACAGAAAAAAATACAATCAACAAGAAGTTGGTACTTTGAAAGGATTAATAATATTAGCAAATCTAACAAAAGAAAAGAAGAATATACAAACAACACATCTAAGAAATGATATGGGTGATATCACCACAGAACCAATGGAAGAAAAAGAATAATACTATGAAGAAATGTACTACAACAAATTTGAAATCTAGAAGAAATGGACACATTTCTAGAAACACATGACATATCTAAGCTAACACAGCCTGAAGTAGAAACCTGAACAAGTGAAGAAATCAATCAAGCCATTAAAAAATTCCTAATTAAAAAAGTCCAGACCCAGATGGCTTTACTGATGAATTCTACCAAACATTCAGAGAGGAGCGGAAACCAATTCTACTCAAACTATTCCAGGATCTAGAAAAGGATAGAAAACTTCCAAATGCATTTTATGAAGCAAGCATAACTCTGATACCAAAGCCAGGCAAAGACATCACTAAAATACAATGTTATAGACTAATATCCTTCATGAACATAGACACAAAAATTTCCAACAAAATCCTAGCCAATAGAATCCAGCAACATATTAAAGAGAAAACAACAACAACAATAAAAGACATCATAACCAAGTGGGTTTCATATCAGATATCCTTGGGTGGGTTCAGTATTAGAAAATCAATCAATATAATCCACCACATAAATAAAACAAAGGTAAAAATCACATGATCATACAATTAATTGATGCAGAAAACCATTTGACAAAATTCAACATTCATTCCTGATAAAAAACAATCAATAGGAATAGAAGGTAAATTCCTCAACATAATTAAGGGCATGGGGCAGTTCAAGCTCATCAGCCACTTCTTGGAAACCCTATACAGGGTCACTATGAGTCGGACTTGACTCGGTGACACACAAACACCACTACCAACTCCTTAGTTACACTAGCCCTACACCATGTCCTGCAATATTGGACTGCACAATTCAAAGAATTTCACAGCAAAGACCCTTAAAATTTACAAAAACCTGATAATGTCTGTGCTACATAAGGAGTTCCAAAGCAGGGAGAAAGATGCAAAGCTCTCCATTTCTACAAATCTAGCATAATCTTTGCACACATCCCACACACTCCTTGCTGTCGAGTTGACTCCAAGTGTTGACGACCCTATAATCTTCACACAAACACTGACAAAGCACACCCAAGTGCACAAAGACAAGCATGCGAAAGGAGAGAGATGATTACATTTATCAATAGCACCTAATATTCAGTAACATAGATGCAACAAACATCCCAAATGATACACTGCCAGTAAAAAGCAAAAACACATTTCAAAAACAATTCCATATACCTGTAACATGTAAGACTTCACTACTCTGACCAAGTGGGACATGTCTTCTATCAATTTACAGCAGAAGTTTAGATGCTGAGCAAGGACCCAACTTCTCAAAGATTGCTGGAAAAAAATCTACCTACTCCTCATTCCAATATTCTTTAGTCAACACCCAATCTATAATTCACCTGCTCCCTAGGTCTACATCATCATTATAAAGCTTTATATTTCTTGCCCCTGACTAAGCTCCTCACCTATCAAAATGCTTTATTATAACCGCTGTTACCGTGCACCCAAAAGCAAAAAAACTCCCCTATGCCTTCAGCATCTACTCTGAGCTATTCCTGAGGCTTCCCCTCAAGGGCATGACTTCCTCTATTATCAAATGACCAGAATATGTTGCCATGGAGTTAACTTCAATCATCAAAAGCTTGGAATAATACTGTGCTCCATAGAGTTTTCAATAACTACATTTTTGGAAGTGGATCTCCAGACCTTTTTTTCCAAGGTGTATGTCTGTGTGGACTCATATCTTCAAATTTTTCATTTGCAGTCAAGAGCATTAGTCACATTCAGGAATGCCATATTTATCAAACAGATCATCATCAATCGAGTGAGTCTGGTTCTCTCGGTAACCCCATTTTACAACTGTTTTTTTTTTTTTTTTTTGCTGCAAAAACTATCATTGGGTCTGGTTAAAAAGAGATGAGGATAAGATTCTTAGGATTCAGTAGAAAGTACTTGTTATCATGACTAATTGTGACTGTCACAATTGTAAAGGTAGAAGTTTTATAACAAAAATAGGGGAGTAGTTAATCTTACAGTCCAGAAACAAAGGACCCTAGGATCATCAGGGAAGAAGAGCACAAGAGGAATGAGGGACCCTATCCAGAGAAACAGCGACACCAGAGATGGAAGCAGAGATGGACACATGGAGAAAGGGAGCAGCTGAGGACTCTAGATTCATGGGAAGAGAGAGACTGAGAGCTGGTGGTCAGGAGGCAGACTTACAGAATGTGCCCTTTGGTGTTGTAAATTATCATATATGCCTGAGTGTTTAAAAAAAAAAAAAGAGAGATAAAGCGAATATAGAGAAATACTGTTAACTGATGGTACATGGAGGGGATTATAATCATTGTAATGAAACAAGGTGTATGATTTATTGAATGTAAAACTGATGATCTGCCCTGTAAACTTTCACTCAATCCACAATAAAAACCTTAAAAAACAAACAAACAAACCATCATTTATTGAATACTTGTTACTTCATGTACTGTGTTCAGTATTTTACATTCATTTTCTCACTTTAATCCTTACAACAATCCTGAGGTAGGCATTACCACCACCACCATCACCAGCCCAGATTACAGATGAGAAAACAGGCTCAGAAAAATTAGGTCACCTGCCCAAGGTCAAACAGCTAGTCAGTGGTGGAGCTGAGATTTGTCTTTTGCCAAAAGCCCATGTTCTTTTTATTGTAGCCATCTATGTCAACGTTGAGTAGAAGCTGTGCAAAGAACACTTGGAATTGGAAGTTTCCAGCCACACTTACTGCTGGTAGGGATGCACTGATGCCGGCTTAATGTTGATTTTTATCCCGCTAGGTATTTTCCCTGGTTGACCTGCTTGGGCATTTGCACCCCACTGAGCATTAAGTATTCCTGGCTTGGAGCTCCTGGAACCGGCATCTGCTGTAATCCTGAGGCTCCTGCAAGGATTGTTCCAGCTCCTGGCTGGCCTTGTGGCCAGGACCACTGCTGCCTGATGGTCTCCAATAGGCAGTCCTTTCCCAAAAGCCACAGCTGCCACCAAAGCATTGTTGTCTGCAGGGTTAACGGTCTGCTTGTTATGCGAAAGACTTCCACTCTCTGATTCTCACTCCTCTTTGCGGGTTTTCTCCAGAAGGTTAGAACACATTTTATTCAAACTCTGGATCTGCTTCTGGGCTGCATCAGCACCAATTCAGGAAGCATTTGTCAGCTGCTTCTCCTGCTCTTCAACTTCAGGGTCAGGATTGGTTCTCAGATGGCTGAAAACAGGTACCCGTCCTTCAGTCTGTCACATGAGCTCTTCATCTCAGTCTGGGGACAACAGAGGGATGATGTCCTGCTTATGGAACAGTAGTGTCTTTTCATACTGCAAGACCTTGTTCAGAGTGTTCAATTGTCCTGAGCAAAGCAAAGCTGTCCAAGACAGAGGGCCAGGTCAGCAGGGTCATACTCGTTCTCCAACTTATAAATGAAACTTCCCAGTGAGTTTCTTCAGAGCAGCTGCTTGACTTAGTGCATCTAATGACACAGCTCTGGTAGTGTAGTGGTTACGAATAGGGCTGCGAACCGCAAGGTCAGCAGTTCGAAACTACCAGCTGCTCCGCGGGAGAAAGATGAGGCATTCTGCTCCCGTAAAGATTAACAGCCTCACAACAACAATGACACTTCAAGCTGCTTCTCCTCCCTGTGCCTTGTGGTGGCAGTAGTGGCAGTTATTTCCTGCAAATGCTTGTAAACAGACGGGTCTGCTCCTTTTCAGCTGTATCACGTTTCCTTTCTCATTAATGCTCTCCTCTACCAACCTTCTTCTCATTTTTTAAATTTATTGATGCCTGGCTCACAGTTTTTCTCTCTACTTCAAGCCCTGCCTTTATTCCTTATGATTTCCATATCAATAGGGACAACTCTTCTAATAGTCACTGTCAGTGAAGACCACCTAGGTAGGTGACCTGTTAAACTTCTCCTAAGCTAGCATCCATGCTCACGCCTTGGATGTGTTCATGACCTGCAATTGCTCTGCACTCCAATCACTGGGTCACACACTTCATTCTCTGACCATATCCTTCTCTCTTTTCGATTTATTTTTCAATTACTTCACCAAACCCTCCCTTGACTTTCACCCAACCCAGTTTATTAGTTTCACTACTTTCCCTTGTTGTTGTTAAGTGCCGTTGAG